TACAAAAATATTACACACAATTCATAATTCAAGAACTAAGACATGCAAAAGAACTCCTTGGAAGACAAACTACCAAGATCTCAGAACTTCCTGTTTTTCCAGCTATAGTTGTGAATCACATGCGGGTCATGAAATCAGTGGAGTGGACTGAATCGGAGGAGGGAGTGGATTATATTTCTTCAACTGTTTTTTTAATGGAATGGATAGACGAATGGATGATATTGGACAAGAAAGGATCGGAGTTTATCATGCTTAGAAATGCTAAACACTGTTTTTTTTAAACTTCTGTTTCAACTAAGAATGTGTGTGTGTGCGCGCGCATGCGTGCGTGCGTGCGTGCGTGCGTGCGCGCGCGCGCGCTAGGTTACAAAACCAAATGCATTTCTTACTGCGGGTCCCATTCAAAGTTTGAAAACTGCGGCTGGCAGGCCCAACAGGGGATTACAACAGCAACGCTGAAGTCAGGGGGGAAAAACAAGAGATTATCAGTAGGAGCACTGTATCAACAGTTCCTACAAATGGTTGTGAGGGACAGGGGAGGAAAAAAGCGAGGCAAACACAACTCCTAGACGGCAGAAACACTCGGTGGACACTGAGGTGTAGAATTCAGCAGTGCGAAGTCCACGTTCAATTTCTCCCAGCTTATCTCTTCAAGGTTGTCTCCCCTCACTATCCTCCCAACCTTTTTGTCCCTACAAGGAAAGCTTTCTTTCAGATCAGCTACAACAGAGGGTGGTAAACTCAATAATTTTTTTCATCTTTATATTACCTTTGCACCTGGGACTGCACGTTAGACATAGTGAATGCTCCGAAATTTATTGAGCAAACACTGTTTAGAATATATTAACTCTGCCTAGGGACGTCAATGCTATAGTACTACTTCCTTCTTCTAACCAAATAGTGTCCTATGTAATTAAATTCTGGTAGTATTTCAATAAATAACTTTAAAAGGTGAAGTACTTTCTCAGGGCTTTAACAATGCAACTTAGGCCCTGGCGGGGTGGCCCAGTTGGTTAGAATGTCATTCTGATACAGCAAGGTTGCAGGTCTGATCCCCAGTCAAGGCACATACAAGAATCAACCAATGAATGCATAAATAAGTGGATCAACAAATTGATGTTTCTCTCACTTTCTCTCTCCCCTCTTTTCCTCCCTCTCACTCTCTAAAACCAAAAAACTTAAAAAAAAAATTTAAGCAACTTAAAGAAATAGGGTTTTAATATTAATGCTTCCCAAGATGTTTCTATTTAATATTCCTAAAACCCTGTTTTTCAAACATATGACCACAGCAGGTACCACTCTTAGACACCTTCTCTCAAGTACTGCCCAGAAAAGGCTATTCTCATTAAGAAGTCCTAAATTAAAAGCACACGTGCAACATGTATGTTGTGGGGGCAGCAACCTTTAATTAAAAAATATAATGCTAGCATACATCAAAGTATCAGTCAGTGACAACTGCTTCCCTGGGTCTAACTCACCAAAATAATTTTAAGAGCCTCCCAAACACCCAGCTACCCTGTCCTGCCCACAGCTCTGCACTGATCTGCAATAACATACCCTGTAAGCCTCAGCTGCGAATGCATCTCTCCACCCCTCTCTCCATCCATCAGGGAATATTTTTAAAAGGGGTTAAAAAGGAACCAAACTAAATGCAACAGTTCAACCTACTTGGGCTTAAGTGAAACACACCAGAACCCTTTGATGAAGACCAAAAAGGTGTAATTAGTCATTCTTTACAAGTAGGCAAACATATAATTGATTTGCCAAGGTCACAGAGCTAAGAAGTGGTGAAATTCTGTCTTTCCACAAGAGTCTTTTGATTCCCAATCCAATGCTCTTTCCACACTGCATCAATCGACAGTAAGAAAAACCTTATTGGTTAGTGCCTCCTGTTCAAGATAGTCATGCTTGTTCTCTAAGCTCCACAAAAACAGGCCCAACTCCTTCACTAGACCATCTGTCCATCCTTTCCTGGGCGCAAGCCTTGGCCACTCGAGAGCCAGGCTAAACACAAGACCAGAAGAGAACAGTGGGAGCTGAGGAGACGGCAATTCAGTCAGCGGGTAGATGTGAAGAGGTCAACAAGCAATGAAGGAGAGAGTCATGCGTACATCTCAGATGAAGGCAGGAGCAAGGCAAGAGTCTGCGATGCAGACAGGTCATTGGAAAGACTGATGGCAGGTCCCTGTCAAAGCTTCTCTACCCTGTGCAAAACAACACTCCACCTCTGGGAAGCCTGACCAGGACCAAGCTGACACAGATCCAAGTAAACCTCAGTGCCATGCAGGTTATCAAAGCAGTGGCTCATTCTTTCACTCGTTCAACAAAGGAGTTATGAAAATGCTTAACATGTGCCAGACAATATGCCTGGAAATATTAATGATAACACACTGTCTCTGCTGTCTAAAGGCTGCCATGAATCAGAAAGACGGATAATAAATGATAAGACTGCTTTGATAAAAATATGCACAGGGCACTATGGTAACAACCCAAAGGTTCTGACCCTATCAAGTCCAGTTACAAGGATTAGAGGAGCAGTGAAGAGTGAAGGCAGCTTGGAGGAAGAAGATTAAGAAATTATTCACTGAGCAGAAATCCATTTATTAAAGTAAAACCAGAGCAAGGTGCCTCCTACAGTAGCCTGTTGAAGCAACTCCATAACATGACTGTTTCCACAGATCTGGGGTTGGCAATGTGCAAGGATAGGGTCATATAACAAAGGTATAACAAAGGTATGACAAAGGCCAAGGGCACAGCCTGAAACACAACGGGGGAAAAGATGTAGACTGCCCATACAATAGAAACAAACCTCAAAAATATCACTGTATAAGTACTAATACATGCTTCAACATGAATGCACCTTGAAAACGTTATGCTAAGTAAAACAATTCAATCACAAAAAACTATGTCATATGACCCCACTTATATGGAATGTCCAGAAGAGGCAAAAAGATAGACAGAAAGCAGACTGCTGATTGCCTAGGGCCGGGGGAGCTGGAGGTAATTGGGAAGTAACTGCTTAATGGTATGAAGTATCTTTTGGGGTGATGAAAATGTTCTAAAATTGATGGCAGTGATGGCTTCACAACTGTGCAAATATACTAAAAACCACTGAAATGTACACTTTAAATGGATGAAATATATGATATGTGAATTATAGCTCAATAAGGCTGTTACAAACATACCACTGTATATTCTCATAAAAGTTCAAACATAAAAATTGCAGATGGTTTTATTATCGGCCTTAAGAAGCCATTTGAAAGCTAAGTCAGCAGAGGAGGTGTATGGGTTTGGAGCTCTGCACAAGATTCAAGCCACAGCTGCGCCACTTGCCAGCTGTGCATACTTGAGAAAGCTCCCAACTTAACCTGTCAGCCTCAGTGCACTCGGTGGTAAAATGAGGACAATATCAACTCCGCAGGGTGAGAAATGACATAATCTGCGTAAGTGTTCCATATTGCTACTGCTTTCTAAATACTGTTATATGAAAAATAAATGTCATCTTGCAAAGTTTACACAAGAATCCTTTTATCAGATACTATACAGAGGAATAAAACATTACAATCGAATTCTAATTCAATATTTTAAATCTGCATGTCTAGATCCTATGTCTCATTCACATCTGCATGTCTACTTTACCCTAAGATGGTTAAATGTCTAAGATGCTTCTTTGCATTATCAGGGGTGCTAAACATTTTTTGAGTGCTTACTATGTTCTAGGTACTCTATTTCACATTGATACAAGGTGAATTTTAATTCAAAACTTGGTCAGGAGAGTAATATGCTTTGTCCTCTGTACCATGCTAATATTTTCGGTGTTATTCTTTATTTGGGTCTTCTTGTTACTCCTTTACCACTAACCAATCACTATATTCAAAAATATTTGTCAGAATAATTTACCTGAACATACAAGAATCTGTAAGGGTGATATGTTAATGACATGCATATTACTTTCAACATGCATAACATATACTAAAGCTGCTTATTATTTTCAACATGCATAACATACACTAAAGCTGGTTAGCTCTCTTGTTTTTAGGCAAAATTTTTAAAAATATAAGGAGGGACCCCCAAAAAACTGGAATTTATTTATTAAAAAATTGTATATTTATTCTTACATGTATAAGCTTCAGTCACCTTCAAAGTACTCTCCATTTGATGCAATACACCAATCAAGGTATTTTTTTCACTGCTCACAACAGTTTTTGAACTCATCAATTTTGGTACCTTTTAGTGCTTCTGTCATTTTTTCATTTCGCCTCTTCCACATTGGCAAAACATTTGCCTTTGAGGACTTTTTTTAATCCAGGGAGACAAAAAAGTCGCTCAGAGCAAGATCAGGTGAATAAGGAGGGTAGGATATGGGGGTCATGCTATTTTGGGTTAAAAACCGCTGAACACTCCATGCAGTGTGGGCAGGTGCACTGGTAAATTGCCCATGATGAAATGGGTGAACATGTTGACAGAGTCTTCGGAAAAAATTCACTGAAACCTAACGCAGCCTCTCACAACACCACCAGCTGATACGCTGATACGCATGGGTTCCTAGAACACTCACCTAGCAGGGGAAGCCTGTACTACAAGGGGCCAGTACTCCAGAAAATAATCGGTATTTTGGGGGCATCCCCCCTAGTACATATATGGCATTTTAGTCTGGTCTATTTTAATTAGCCGCTACACATTTCTGAAGAGCTGACATGTTTTTAGCTACTTTTTACCTCTTTTTTAAGTATGAGAGCTGATTTGAATGATGCAAGGTCAACAAAAAGTTTGTAATTAAACAAAATTTTTAAACTAATGTATCAACTAGTCCCTTTTACTATTTAAAAGCAACAATTTAATGAATTTTACCAGTTCTGCCTCTTAATTTAGCACCTTTTAACAGTACATTTCCAAAACATGCAGGTTCTAGCAATTTCAAAGGTGTTAGCACAGCATGCCTTCAACATCACACAGTTAGTTTAAATTCACAACAAAGGAAACATTGAGAGTAACCTTACCACATCATCTGTCAATGTCCTAATATTTAAATGCTGCAAATTAAAGAAACCAATCATATTAGTAATTTTAACAGATTTTTAAATTTTTAGTTAATAGAATACATTTAAAATTCTACAATGCTAGGTTGAATGTAATTAAATTCCTGACGGTCTAATAAAAATGCATTATATACTGTTTTAATCGCTTTCATGAAAAGATAGGCAAAAGTTGCCCTGAATATGGTAGGCCAAATGTTTCCTAAAATTTCTTGTATTTGTAAACCAAACTAGGAACCTAATTGTGGTACAATAGATTGATTCTCCCAAGTAACGATTATTATTAAGTATATAAACTTAGAATACGATGGATATAGAGATTTAAATACATTTTCAGAAATTTGTTCATACTACAAAACAGTGAAACTTTAAATCTAGCATTAGCATGCAGCATAGTAGATAATGGAGTACTTTGCTGGTTTAATTAACTCAATTCTTGAAATGAAGAGAACACTAGACCAAGTATTTGCATCTCTAACATCAGTTTGATTTATAACTAGTGGTGACAATAGACACTTTCAATTTCATTGCTAGCTTCCTTGAAAACCCTTTTTCTGATTTCCTTGCTAGACAAACATAAGGCCACTTTAGAAGATGAATAATTTAGTTTCCTGCAAAGTGGAGTTCAAAAAAAAAGTATTTAGAGAAGTAGGGAAACAGAAATCTAAGTTTTATAAATTCCGGAGTCAGGAAAGATTTTGTATCCCAGTTGCTGGAATCGACTTCTAATTCTCCTTCTCTTATTCATTGTGGCATTAGATCTTTTATAGGGCAGAACAAGGTTCAGTGCATTTCCTAAATAGGAAATCAGAGATATGTACTATTTTCTAAGTATAGAATGATGTGTTAGCAATGAGTTCACCTTGACGTTCATGAATCTACCTCAATGATGATCCAGATTAAAAACCGTTAGAGTGTAAATCACTATCCCAGATTCTCTTCTGTCTTCCACCAAGATGTTCCTTCATCTGGCACAGACAAAACAGTAACTATAGGGACCCAGAATGAGTTTTATATACACCAAAGAGAATACAGCTGAATAAATGACCACACCATTAGCCATTAGCCACACCACAAGGTTCCAGACTGAACAGTTGCCTGTTAAATTAGAAACAAAGAAGTAATATTAGATTAACAAAGGGTTAGTATTTAATTTGGGGCAGTAGAATTTGCTTTTAATCAATACTGTCTCCAGTCTTTGACACTGATAGGTATGCACAGAGGTCCTTAAGAGTGGGTGTGTTCCTGGGCAGAACTATGAAATTTCTGAAGCACTTAGGGCCCCAGTCTCATCCCAGAGACCATTCCTAGAATTAAACCCAAATAAACACAGCTCCCACGTTCACAGAAAAAGGAACAGTGGAAAGACTGCGTGCACGGGTCCCTTCCTCTAACTGCCCACGGTCTGTGTGCTTTCCTGCCGAGAGAGCTGTCCAGCCCATTGCATGCGGTGAACCACTTCTCTTACTCTAGAACCAGAGGTACCACCCCAATCACAACTCTCATCACACCTGAGAGGGGTCACTCCGAAGTTCTCTGACAAGAGGAATATAGTCCACTTCTGACAATAGTTTTCTAGGTGGCCTAATGCTTAAGAAAAGTAATGTCAAAGAAACACTACAAAGTTGAATTCCTATTTAGAATAGAATGCTACAACAAAGAGAAACATCCACTTTCACAACTGAAATATTCCTAAATCCCAATTTAAGTCGCCTGAGAAAAATGCCATAAAAGTTATGTTGAAAAGAGAGAAAGACAGCCCTGGCTGGTGTGGCTCAGTGGATTGAGTGCCAGACGGCGAACAAAAGGGTTGCTGGTTCGATTCCCAGTTAGGGCACATGACTGGGTTGCTGGCCAGGTCTCCAGTAAGTGGCACATGAGAAGCAGCCACACATTGAATTTTCTCTCCTCTTTCTCCCTCCCTTTCCCTCTCCAAAAATAAATAAAATCCTTTAAAAGAGAGAGAGAGAAGGAGAAAGACGATTAAAATGAAAAACTTTAAGAGAAATGAGAGTAGAGCCCATGCAAGATTTATGAGCTGAAGACTGCATTGAAGATATAGAAAGTAAAGTACCAGACAGAAAAGGTTGGGGTTGTAGATTATATGATGCAAAATCCAAAAGCAAATGCCCAAAAAGAACGTTTTTACATACCTTCAAAGGCTTAAAATTGCACAGCCTTTTAGAGTTAGAAAAAGAGCAGAGAGTGACTTGTCTAGGAACAAGACACATAATGATTAATTTTGGGGGGCATGCCTTTATACTGGGTTGGCCAAAAAGTACACTTAGTTTTTTCCATAAAATAAGACACACTTTCTATTTTCATCAATAACTTTATTGATTTGGAAATTTTGAGTGTGTCAGCTCTCTCCCTTCTGGTATAACGTTGATTGTTCTCAATTAATGTCTCAGTTTGACCGCTATCAACTTTAACTGGTCTAGCTGACCGTGGAGCATCATCTTCCAGCAAGAAATCTCAGCACGAAATTTCGCTAACCACTTTTGATATGTTTGATCAGTCACAGCACCTTCCCCATACACTGCACAAATCTTTTTTTTGCGTTTCAGCTGCGTTTTACTGTTTCTGGAAATAATAATACATAATAGTCTGAAAATGTTGTTTATTGTCTTTCATCTTCATTAAAATGGCTACACGAAAATTCACCAATTTTGATGTTTGTTTTTAAATGCACACTGATATGACAACTGTCACAGTACAATCTAACAATACTGTTTCGAACAAAGTTAAAGACAACTAAGCACTACTAGAGCCATCATATGAAAAACTAAATGAACTTTTGGCCAACCTAATATGTTTATAAACATATATGCTTATATGTTTAAATGGTCTAACCTTTAAAAGAACTCAGTTTGTTAAATGTTTGACTTGTGTTTTTAAAACTATATAGGTATGTACGTAAGACCCATTATAATCTACATTATTCTACATGACCTTTTCTCGCACACACATACACACACACACACACACAACATGTGATGAATTTCAAAAGAATTATAATGCAGGGGTAGCTTATGTGGAAAAGTAAGAAAAATAAGAACTCGGGAATGTTCAAGTTTAACAGTCTGAGGAGAGCAAAAAAATCGAGTCAAGTTCATTATTCCTTCTCTTCGGGAAAACGTTTATCTGTGGCGCCTCACCACCAGCAAGAGAAGCCAATAGGACAGGAAATGACAGCAAATTCAAAATTCCCATAATAAAACAGGAGATACTGACTAACAGTAAATGACTGAAAAGCTAATCGAGAAATTTGGGTGTCCAAAACCAAAACATTAAAGTCAGAATTTAGTTCCAGAAACCAAATGACATCGCTATTTGTTTAGACACATACAATCTAAAAGAAACCACCAAAAAAAAAACAAAAACAAAAATTGAATAGATCTAAGTATAAGCAATATCTGCTAAAAACTGAAATGTCCAATCACAATCTACTTCAAACATGACTGAAAAAAAAAGAAACAAACACTAAATACTTAGTGAAAAAATGGGAAGCTTATATCAAATGGCACTTTTGGGGGAGATGGTTGAGTGCCAATATTAATTCAGGTTTATTATACAGTTTACATTATCTCGAGGTCCAACCTGTTTCAATTTCAGACTTCTAAACAGCGGAGGGAGTAGGTGACTGACATACACTCCTCAGATAATTATGTGGGGCTTTGTTCTTCTGTAGCTATAAAACTATGAGGATGATATCCTTAATGTTTAAAAATAGAAAAACTGTATTATAAAAAAGTATTGTTTTTATACTGGTATTTGAGGTACTGGTTAACCAAGACACCTAGTGGTCTTGTGTTCCTCTTCCTGCAAATTCTATTATCTCCCTAAAAAGGAAGGAGCGCCACATACTGGTATGTTTTCTGCTACTGACAGTTCCTAGGATGACTGGTCAACAGGATCACTCTGGAATTGATAGAGAAAGGCTTTATAAACTTTTTTTTCTTCTAGGGAACATAGGATCCAAAAATAGGGGGCAGAAACACAGATCAGAGATCTCTATATTCCCAATTAAGCAAAGCATAAAAACCTTTATTAAAGACAGTGCATGCTGACAAAAATAGATCTAGAGCTTTCAGAGAGCACTGTGCTCACTGCTGTAAATATCAAGAGGTATGAAAAAACCGTCCCACCTCCACCCATTTAGTTCACAAGTAAAAGTTTACAAGTAAGTAACAAAAACCAAATAAATTAGCACAAAGCAAGATAAAACTCCTGGGGTACTCATGCAATGAAAAAGATTCCAAGCTGTAGACAAAGATTTTTAGCAAGCTTTACATTTTCTTTCATTGGTTAGCATATTTGAACTAGCAGAGAGCAAAGGATCTGTCCACCGGTGTCATCAAATATATGACAGCCACCACCAAGGGTCAAGGTATCAGGCTCGGATCGCTGCCAAATACATAGTAATATTTAAGAATAGTTTTTAGGTGTTGCAATTCCATTAAATTTACACCCTCTAAGTGGACCATTATAAGAAATTACCAAGAAGAACAAAACCTCTAAGATTAAAGCCTCTGTACTCACTGACTCAGACCCAATTTTCATAAACTAGGTTCTCTAGACCAGCTGGTTAGTGAGCACGAAAAACACACCAAGATTATCTTCGCAGAACTAAATGACAGGGCCTCGCCTTCCCAAGACTCTGCTTCAGGAGGTCTGAGGTGGGGCTTAGGACCTGTCTGTTCAAAGGGCCCCCCAACAGCCGGCCTTGGACTGAGAGAAACCGGCTCCACACAGCACCCCCCAACACCAGCCTTTAAATATCCCCTCAGCCTGCACACACATGAATTCCTCATCACGTGGCTCACTTTAAAACTGGTGCCCCTGAAATGAGCTAAATGAAAGGTACAGAGGAGAATACAAGAGGATTTCAAAGAAGTGATAGACAGGGAGCTGGTACAGTTGGGGCAGGTTTACAGCCATAAAGTGGCAGACACCAATTAGTGCTGTTGAATTCACTTAAAACAATTTCTGGTGTC